CCTTAACAACCAACTATTCTTCACAATGAATTTGGATCAGATTTGAAAATAGTGAATCCTTCTGATAAAAACTGATATACAAAATTAATACCAAAGATACTAAATTAATCTGTTAAACATAACAAATATGGCAAAACAAAATTCTTCAATTAACGACTGAAGCAAAAACAAAACTAAACAAAAATGGTGGCCTATCATGTGTCTAGATGAATATTTTTGCCACTAGAAAGCCTGAAGGTGCTACTTGGATTCTGGGCCCCTCTGAGTGAAAAAGTCTCACACATGTAGTATCCCTATACTCAAGAGGAGTAGCAGAATGTGTTTTGGGGTGTAATTCTAAGTATGCCTATGATGTGTTTTAGAAATATCTTATTAATTGTAAACTTTGTGTAAAAAAGGCATTTCCATTTTCTTTCCTGCATTTTCCAAAAACATGTGGCAAACAATGAAATAAAAAAAAAAACTCATTATGCATCTTAGAAAATACCTCTTTGCTTAGTCTTTGCTTTCCAAAATGGGGTAATTTTGTGGGTGTTTCTACTTTCCTGGTGCTTTAGGGCCTCCAAAAATGTGATAGGTAGTCAGGAAATTAAATGTGTAATTTATGCTCCTTTAAAGCCTAAAGGTGCTCCTTGGATTTTGGGCCCCTCTATGCATCTAGGCTATGAAAACATCTTATGCATGTGGTAGCCAATATATTTGGGAGGCATAGCAGAATGCGTTTTGGGGTGTAAGTATAAGTATGCTTATGCTGTATGCGAGACATAATTTATTAAATTGACAACTTTGTGAAAAAAAAAGTCTTAATTTTCCAAAAAAGGGACAAAAAAATGTACAAACTTCAAAAAGCTCACCATGCATCTTAATAAATACCTCCGACTGTCTACTTTCCACAAATGTGTAATTTGGGGGGTATTTGTGCTGTCCTGGCATTAGGACCTCAAGAAGTGAGACTTGCAGTCAGTACATCAGGACTGATCAGTTTTCAAATACTATACCATAGTTTGTCGACTCTATAACTTTCACACAGACTAAATAATATATACTAATTTGGGTTATTTTTACCAAAGAAATACAGCAGAATACATTTTGGCATACATTTATGAAGAAAGTTTATTTACAAATTTTTATAATTATATTTGTATATTGTATTTGTATAATTGTGTTGTAATATTGTATATAAATATGGAGAACTAAGAAAAACATGTTTTCTTTCCATTTATATAGTGGTGATTAAATAAAACCACAACATATGTCACAAAAAAATTTAAAAATGTTATATGGGTTTAGTATTGCATGATGCATTGGTTGCAAATGGCCTGGGAAGCGGGGGAGAGAGTGTCTGGCATTGAGGTGGTTAATGACACTTTAAAGCTCTCTGCTGAAAAAACTTGTATACAGAGCTCTAAAGTTAAAGCTCAGATTACATAGGCATATCAGAAGAGTGATTCATCTCACCTTTTATTCAGCAGAATAGATAGTTTTAATTATCAGAAAAGAAACAACTATTGTATTCTCACCATAGAAATCACATACCCTTTACAATTTGTGCTGTTGCACCCAGTATTAAATGTTTATTTACAAAATAAAACATACTGTGTATCAATAAAAAATGTGAAAAAATATAAAGTATTTAACAACTAGGAGCTCACTGTATTCTTGTAGTATCAGCGCCTTTTTTGTTTTACCCTTGCTTGATAGATTATATATTCAAGTGTTGTTTATGTAGTGGTGATAGATCCACTTAAATCTTGTTAATAAGGTACAGAGTGCCCTCTGATTAGAACAGGTCACAGCTATAGCAGCACAGGTCATGTAACCTTTGAAAAAACAACTTCAGGGATGACTAAACTGCACTCATTCATAGAGACTTAGCTTGAAACAGGAAAGAAGAAATATCCACCTTATCTCAAAATCTATGCCCTAGATCCAGCCTAATCTCTGTTTGGAGTATAGAAAGATACAGTCTCACAACCTCAAGGGAAAAAAAAGTATATTGAATATCTCAATGTGTGGCCTTGTTGAGAACATTTCTCATTATTGATACACGGAAAGACTATATTTCCACCATTTAAGTGCAACAAAGACAAAAACTGTGCTTGTAGAATACATTAAGAGAAGTATCATGTACCATTATTTCAAAATGTAACAATTACTGTATATGCCAGGCTTAAGTCTGCTTCTTGCAAGTAGACAGTAAAACACTTGACCTCCCAAGCTTGTTGGAAGCAAAGCACTTTAAATAACCAGATTTAATTTTCTCTACCAGGCTAGTAGGGTAAAGTATTTCCATTTTTTTTCCATGCAAATGTTTAATAGGGCACTTAAGATATGGTTTTATTTCTCATTCTTTGTTCGACACATGCACTAAAATGAAAACCAAAAATCCCATTCCTTCATTTACAGAAGTATCGAGTGTCATTAGGAACTAATTAACCACTATGGAGACGGGAAATAGGAGAGCCGCATCTCCATCTTACAAGTCTGCAAAACGTTCTCACCATTCTTAAGTAACAGCATAAATAATAAAATGAAACAGAGAATAAAGAAGATTCTAATTTGGCCTCTACAAGTAATACTTTGTTGTTCTGTTTAACAAACTGACTTTGGGAGAATCCATTTTCTCAATAGGTACGTCTATGCATAGCTATATTATTGATCTTCTACCATCTAATAGTTACAGGGAAAGAAAAAATAATAAACCTAGTGATTTAACCATTCTATTGAATATACAGGTGTATCTTAAAGCTGAACTACATGCAGATATTTAATACACAGATCAATGCATATTTGTATTCATTAATACATCATAAAAGGTTCATCCTCACAGCTGGTTTGGGCAATATGCTGCCAAGAATCATAATTTTTCTACATCGGGATGCCACAGATGATTGTGATCAAATGCAAATCAATGACAGAAGCCAAGGCTGTTTGCATGTAACATACATCTAAGTAGATACATGCATTTAGGGACAGATGAACAGCCCTAAACACAAATGGCTTAAGTCCACGGACTCTCATTTGGTCCTAATCACATGTAATTGATCAGATGTGCAGTCACACGTGAACTGCCAGGCTCCCTATCATTTATTTGAATGAGCCCTAAACATATTTTTTTTAGTACAACTATTGTAATACCTGATTTTGACTTGGTAGCATCCCCTTACACACCCCTATACAGCAGCATTTAGACTGGATAGGGAGGGAACAAATTGGGTATGTTCTAGGCCAGGGTCTCCAAACTTTCAAAACAAAGGGCCAGTTTATTATCCTTAAGAGTTTAATTGGGCAAGACTGGGGCCAGAGAGAGTAGAAAATGCCCAGGCATCAGTGAGAGTAAATCATGCCTTACATTTGTTGTAATGACAGTGATGGTGCAAACTGTGTTATTATTATACAGTGTTAGTATCTGTGGGAGGCACAGTGCCCCATTGTTGGTAATCAAGGGATGAATAGTGTCCTATGATTGGCATCAGTGGGAGGAATGATGCCCCACTATTGGTGTCATTGGGAGGAATAGTGCCCCATCAATGATGTCAGTGAGAGAAATAGTGCCCCATTGTCTGTATTATTGAGGGCGTAGTTTCTCATCGTTGGTGTCAGTGGAAGGAATATTGCCCCATTGTCTGTATTATTAGGGCATAGTTCCCCATAATTGGTGTCAATGGAAGGAATAGTGCCCCATCATTTATGTTAGTTGGAAGAATGGTGTCCCATCAATGGTGTCAGTGGGATGAATGTTGCCCTATCATTGTGTTAGTGGGAGGAATAGTGCCCCATCTATGGAATTAGTGGAAGGAATGATGCCTCATATTTGGTATCAGTGAAAGGAATAGTGCCCCATTGTTGGCATCAGTGGGAGAAAGTGGTGCCCCATAATTGGTGTCAGTGGGAGAAATGGTGCCCCATCTTTGGTGTCGGTGGATTGAATGGTTCCCAAAGAGCCAGATAAAGGCAAGCAAAGGGCCAAATCTGGCATGCAGGCTGCAGATTAAAGACCAATGTTCTAGGCAAATGTGTTGAAAAGCAATATAATAATTGAAGAGCGAGCACAGTGAGCAGAGGAATGATCTCATTAGTTGGCTGCTGTTTTTTCACTGCCTAGCTAATATGATGGGAGTGGAGAGAGAGCATAATAGTATTCCTAACTGGAAATTATGTCATTAAGCTGTCTATCCTGTCTATCAGAGCTGTGTAAATTACAGGACTGGATGAACAAAAATACAATTCTTTTGGAAGGTACAACAACTCCTATATGTATGCACTTCATCTGTGCATTTAGCTGTTTTCCTGGATTTCAACTGTAAAAACATAATGTTATTAAAGACCTCCGGTAAGCACTATTTGAATCCAAATCACAAACATGTCATCATGTTATAAATCTTCATTTCCTGTAAACCTTATTTTACATAGAGGAAAATCTCTGTTTCATTCTTTGTTCTTTCTTTTGAATATCATAACTGAGTGAAAGCAGTACATTGCAAAATACAAGCAGTACATTTCACCTACTTGTATTTTCTGTTATGTGTAATTTCAGTCTTTCAGCATAACTTACAGAAAGCAAGCACAGCTATAGATACAGTTGTTTCTCCAGTTCCCAATAAAAAAAAATAATTAGTTCAGAGACCTTTAAAATAGGGGGCATACAAGTAGTGAATGATATATTAAACAAACAATCACTTTAGGTGAGCCAGTCACCTGAGTCAGTGATGTGGAGGAATTATGCAAACTGAAAAGTTATCATAAAGCTAAAAGTCCTCATGTACATATTTGTTTTATCCTTGATGGGAAAAAATGTTGTGGGTCCCCTCCCAAAAAAATGTATGCCAGGCCTTTAACCACCTTCCGCCCGCCCTATAGTAAAATGACGGGTGCAAGGTGGTTCTCTCGTTCTGATAGGACGTCATATGACGTCCTACCAGACTCACCAGGTTCAGGGAGAGCGCAGCACGGCAATCGCCGGTGCGCTGTGTCCCACGGATGTCGGCTCGGTCATGTGATCAGCTGTGTCCAATCACAGCTGATCACATGTAAACATAGAAATGCCGGTTATCAGCATTTCTATCCTCTCGAGCTTTCACACTGACAGCTCGAGAGGAGAGGAGAGCCGGTAATCGGCTTTCCACGGAGGGGACATGTACACTGATCATCAGGGCACTGATCAGTGTGGCCCCTGAAGCGCCACCTGTCAGTGCTCATCAGTGCCACTTGCTAGTGCCCATCAGTGCCACATCAATGCCACATATCAGTGCATACCAGTGCACATCAATGCCACAAATCAGTGCCCATCTGAGCTGCCTTTCAATGTCACCCATCAGTGCCAGTCAGTGCCACCTATCAATGCCAATCAGTGCTGCCAATCAGTGCCACCTATATGTGCCTCCTATCAGTGTCAGTCAGTGCCGCCTATCAGTGCCAGTCAGTGTCGCCTATCATTGCACATCAGTGCCAGTCAGTGCCGCCTATCAGTGCCAGTCAGTGCCGCCTAACAGTGCCAGTCAGTGCCGCCTATCAGTAACAGTCAGTGCTGCCTATCAGTGCCTCCTATCAGTGCCATATATCAGTGTCATGTATCAGTGCTGCCTTTCAGTGCCCATCAGTGATGCCTGTCAATGCCCATCAGTGCAACCTACCAGTGCCTCCTCATCAGTGCCCATCAGTGCCACCTATCAGTGTCCATCAGTGCAGCCTATCAGTGCCCATCACTGCAGCCTCATTAGCGCACATCAGTGAAGGAGAAAAATCACTTTTTTACAAAATTGTATAACAAAAACTAAGAAAAAACATTTTTTTTTCAAACTTTTCAGTGGTTTTTGGTTTGTTTAAGAAAAAATAAAAATCCCAGAGGTGATTAAATATCACCAAAAGAAAGCTCTATCTGTCTAAAAAAAATGATACAAATTTCATATGGGTACAGTGTTGCATGACCGCGCAATTGTCATTCAAAGTGTGACAGTGCTGAAAGCTGGAAATTGGCCTGGGCAGGATGGGGGTATAAGTGCCCTGTAGGCTAGTGGTTAATCTGAGCATGCAGCTTGGAAGACCAGGAATGGGGAGACAAGTATGTTTTCCCCATACCAGGCCATGTGCCCTCAAGATGGGGTCCCCTGGTAGAGCACCTTGCCCCATGTTGATGAGGACAAGGGCCTCTTTCCCGCAGACCTGGTCTGGTGGTTGTGTGGGCTTGTGTGCAGGGGTATTATCAGAATCTGGAAGTCCCCTTTAACAATAGGATATTGTCCTACCATGTAAATGAGTAAGGGTTACTCCTTACTTATTCACCCATAATACCCCTACTCATTCACGAAAAGGTAAACAGCAAATAAACACACTTTTGACAAGTTGTTTAGCTAAAAAACATCCCATGATATAAATCTATCATCACTTATGTCCTCCAGAGAGGCATCTCCACATCAATCACAATGAACAACACAAACGGAAGAAAAAATCCTGTTGACACGTCTTCTCTTGTAATTTTTTCATGCGTAAAGAAATCTCTGGGGGGACCCACCTCTAAAAGTAAACCAAAGGGTGGAGTTTCATGAACACAAACTCTAAATGACAAATCACTAGTTCATTTATTTACAAACATCAGGTGGCAGGGGATCTGTCATTTTGTGGTAGTATTGAGAGCACTGCTAACTGAAAGATTCTCATCTGACTTCAGTTTGCAAACAAACAAGCTGAGGATCTTGGGTGTCATCACTGACCAAATAGATTGCTGACTATATATGGTCAATGACATCATCCATAATTCTGGCTAGGATTTACAAACAGCAGGGGGGCAGGGATCTGTCATTTTGTGGTAGTAGTGAGAGCACTGCTAACTTGACAGATTCCCATCAGGCCAGTGGTCCTGGGTGACCTCATTGGCCAAATAGGGTCATGACTATGTTTGGTCAATGGCAGCACCCAGAATCCCAGCTGACTAGTTTACACACAGCAGCAGGATGGGTATCTGCCATAGAAACATCATTGGATGGTGGGTCTTCATGATTGGCCAGCAATCTACATATCTGTGTGATGTGATTGATGTTGGATTTACATTGGGGGTCATTTTTTTTCAGGCAAAGAACTTTATCATTGTGTCTGTGTTTTCTTTAGCTATTTACTTTTTTAGGGGAATGGGTAATATTGGGCACCCCATGCTCATACCCTGGGAGGTTAATATCTGATAGCCCCTTTAATAAAGGGGTTTCCAGATTCTGATAAGCCCTTCCTCATAAATGCAGACAAAAAAGACCAATCTCCTTCTCTCAAGAGAAGTGCACTAGCAAAAGTCAATCCACAATCCGATATTCGCATTGGCTTTTTTGACCCCTACAGGCTGGGGAAACCCAGAGGAATAGTGCAAAAACAAGGAACAGAAGGCACAACAACCTAGCGCATTACCTTTTGGAGGGTCTTCTCATTCTTGGGAATTGTCTAGGTGACCAGGTTGCTTCACATATATTGTGGACTCTGATGTGCCTTATTGCTGATGTTGTTTGTGAATACACATCTGTTTTATTAACACAATAAAGCTATCACAAAGGCAATGAGCTAGGTTGGTGCTCCCTCTGTTCCTTGTTTTTGAAGCTCTCCCCACAAATGCCTGCATTCCATTTGGGAGAAAGATCATGGAGATGAGGCCCTTTGCCCCTCAACAGGGGGACAAATTGACTTGCATGGGAGGTTGGGGTCTTTGCTGCCTCCTCTTCTGAGGTACCCTCCCAATGTTAAAGGCATGTAGCCTGGTATGGTTCAGGAGGGGGGTGCAAACTCACGGCTGTTCCTTTGCTTATTACCGAGGCAGCATGCTTGGTTAAAGGTGAGAATTCCCCAAGATATTTTTCTTTAAAGGAACAGTAAACATGTAAAAAAATGGAGAACATGCTGAGGTTTCACCTAAAATTAATACTAGGCCCAGCAGGGGTACCATACCCAAAAGGGATGTGAGGCTTTGTGGGGGGAATTTGAAAGCCTTTGTTATAATGAAGGGCGTCCCAGATATCCTTCCCAAGGGTATTCAAACTCATTCACTAATAAAGTAACAAGTAAATAAAAATGCCCACATTCTCGAGATGTCCTTTGTTAATTACAAATATAAACAATGTTCCAAAATGTAAATCCAGTATCTACTATGTCCCCCAGTGATGTAGACTCAGCGTCAATCATGAGAACCTACCTCCATTTGATGTTGTCTTGCCACCATGACAACATGGCCTCTGTTTGGAAACAGCTATCCATACATGTTTTTAACATTAGCTTGCAAAATTACACTTGAAATGTCCATACAAATATAGCATGACTTAGCTCCTGTAGACTTCAATAGAGTTTGGCAATGTCTTTAGGGTTTTTAGACTTCCTGCTGGGTTTGCCAACCTCCAAACATAGCTTAGTTAGTACATCCCTAATTCCCTAAACACTAATATTAGTCTACAACTATAAAGTAAACCCATGAAGGGTAGGGGTTCCTTTAAGAGGACCTTGCATTATACTGCAAAATCACTTTGGCCTTAATTTCTACAAACCTTTACCTTTCTAGAAATGTACCTCTCCAACACCAAATATTGGCTGCTGTCAGAATAACTGCCCTGTATGTACTATTTGGTGACAATGCAACCTGCTGCACCAAACACCTTCTTTAAAAGAAAGCTATACGTTGGCCAAGATAAAAGCTAGACTGTGCATTGACCAGTTCAGTGCACTGTACCAGCCTGCACTAGTAGCTTTTACTAATGTTGCTAGCACAGCAGTTAAAGAGCATGTTAAGGAGCCAGATACTCAGAAAGACAATTGACTTCCTATAGCCTATATCCAGTTACCCAGCACAGTGCTCTCGCTAGACTTGTAGGCAATGCTTCAGCAGAGTAACAGAAAGAAGAAATTTCATTTCATTTCATTCTTCCTATGAGTTTTACTAGAATGATAATATAGTTTCCCAAACTTTACTTACAGAAGGACGTGGGGGAGAACAAATGCCTGCTCTTTGAGCTAGATATGGATTTATGCAGCTGTGCTACAAGCTCCACCAGCATTTCTCCCATTTTAGCCCCTAAGATCAACAGGGCAACACATCAGATATAGAGGCTGTAATTTTTCCCCATCCCTCTGTAAAAATAAGTGAGTGCTGCCTGTACCATGGAGGGTAGGTTGTGCTGACTTGGTTAGCCAGGAAGAAGTTTTTTTCAGGAAAAGCATGCAAAATCAAGAGCAGAAGTTCCTGAGTTTAACCAACTTTTTGCTGCAAGGCTTGGGAATTTTTCAGGAAGGTTTTCATCTCCCAATGAAGTACATGAGCTAAGTATTAGGCCTCAGACCAAAGACCAATGTCAGAGATTATGCTGATGTGGGCTCCCTCCAGGCTTACCTGCTCTCTATCTATCCATTATTATGCATGTGCTTCTACTATGGAGGCTTTCAAAAATTTTAGAGTGTTTGTACTGTTGGTATATAGGTGAGGGGCGCACTGGATACCTTAACTGCCATTGTGCTATATGCTGGATGTTCAGTGCACCCCTGTGCCTTTAAGGAGGGGTGGGCTCCCTCCAGGCTTACCTGCCCTCAGTCTAACCATTATTAGGCATGTGCTTCTAAAATGGAGGTTCTCAAAATTTATAGCAATAGGACAGCAGATAATACTAGGATACTTACGCATGTATTTGCAAATGTGTGCAAACTAACCCCATGTTTTTATGTGAACTATTAGACAGGGCAATTCAGTTGGTTGCAGGCTGGTTGGTGTGTTGAGCTGGAAACTTTTCTTTGTTATTGTTGGACCAGTGTAAGTATGTATGTGTCACATCTCTGCAAGTTGGAAATCACTGTAGTAGGCACCACTATAATAGTTATCTCCACCAGCTTCTAGGTTTCATGACGATCGGCTGTCCTGCTTCATTGTGAGCACAAGACATTGCTCGTACACACGGGCATCAGAGAACACTTTGCATTTTCTTAACAATATCAAGGTATTATTTGATTGGATGAGGTAGAGAGGTCAGGCGGTGATATTACAATCTCTGCCTTGTCCAATCAGAGAGCACTTTGCACCCATTCAGAAAATGCAGTGTTCCATAAATGACAACGATACTGAGCAGGTGTCCTCCAATGTTCAGTAAGCAGCAGGACGACAACTAGGTACAGGACCAGGAAGCAGAGCCGGATCTAGGGGGGTGCTTGGGTGGGCTATACCCCCCCCAAAAAATTTTAATTGTGCACCCCCAGATCTCTTAGAGTGAATTCACAAATCCATGAGACCTGATGGGGACAGTTGATGTAAGGGGACACTCTGATGGGTACAGTTGATGTAAGGGGACACTCTGATGGGGACAGTTCATGAAAGGGGCACTCTGAGGGGGGCAATTGATGTAAAAGGACACTCTGAGGGGTACAGTTGATATAAAAGGGCACTCTGATGGGGACAGTTGATGTAAGGAGGCATGCTGATGGGGACAGTTGATGTAAGAGGGCAGTCTGGTGAGGATACCTGATGTAAGGGAGACTCTGATGGGGACAGTTGATGTAAGGGGACACTCTGAGGGAGACAGTTGATGTAAGGGGATACTCTGATGGGGACATTTGATGTAAGAGGGCAATCTGATGGGGACAGTTGATGTAAGAGGGCACTCTGATGGGGACAGTTGATGTAAGGGTGATTCTGATGGGGACAGTTGATGTAAGAGGGCACTCTGATGAGGACAGTTGATGTAAGGGGGCATGCTGATGGGGACAGTTGATGTAAGAGGGCACTCTGGTGAGGATACCTGATGTAACGGAGACTCTGATGGGGACAGCTGATGTAAGGGGACACCCTGAAGGAGACAGTTGATGTAAGGGGACACTCTGATGGGGACAGTTGATGTAAGAGAGCACTCTGATGGGGACAGTTGATGTAAGAGAACACTCTGATAGGGACAGTTGATGTAAGAGGGCACTCTGAGGGGGGCAATTGATGTAAGAGGACACTCTGAGGGGGACAGTTGATATAAGATGGCAATCTGATGGGAACAGTTGATGTAAGGGGGCACGCTGATGGGGACAGTTTATGTAAGAGGGCACTCTGGTGAGGACACCTGATGTAAGGGAGGCACAGGACCAGGAAGCAGAGCTGGATCTAGGGGGGTGCTTGGGTGGGCTATGCCCCCCAAATTTTAATTGTGCACCCCCAGATCTCTGAGAGTGAATTCACAAATCCATGAGACCTGATGGGGACAGTTGATGTAAGGGGACACTCTGAGGGAGACAGTTGATGTAAGGGGACACTCTGATGGGGAGAGTTGATGTAAGAGGGCATTTTGCTGGGGAAAGTTGATGTAAGGGTAATTCTGATGGGGACAGTTAACGTAAGAGGGCACTTTGATGGGGACAGTTGAAGTAAAGGGACACTCTGATGGGGACAGTTGATGTAAGGGGGCACTCTGATGGGGACAGTTGATGTAAGGGAACACTGATGGGGACAGTTGATGTAAGGGAACACTCTGAAGGGGACAGTTTATGTAAGGGAACACTCTGATGGGGACAGTTGATGTAAGGGGGCACTCTGGTGAGGACACCTGATGTAAGGAGGGACTGTTATAGGAACCTTGAGGGACTCTGTTAGGAACACCTGACATAGGGGCACAGGTTCGGTTTAATCACCCTAAATTAATGACAGCATTCCCAGTTCACAACTGCACCACCTCTGCACTACCTGTAAAAATGTACTTCCAAGTTATGACTCCATGGTACAAAGGTGTGCCAAGTGAACAAAGAATAGTGGTTCCATGCATCCCTGTCACACTACTGACATTATGCCTCCTGACTTTTTTTACTGCACCCCCAGATCAAACATACTAGATCCGGCCCTGCCTGGAAGCCAGTGAAGATCACTGTAGTAGTAGTGCCTACTACAGTGATTTTCAGCTTCCACAGGGATTGGCCAGGTATGACACATGCATACTTATATTGGCCCAAATGTACAATATGTCATACCTGGAATTCAGATTTATTGTAATGGAAATACTAAACAATTATAAAACCTATAGTTAATAAAATATGACATTAACATGAATGTATTTAAAAACTGTATGGAAACACCCCAAGTACCAGGCCTCATTAGTAAATTAACTTTAGGATAAACTCCAAATAGTACTTCTCTAATTTGGTAAACTGTAATGCCATTATATTAAAATGGAAGTTTTTCAAAAGCTTTAAAGACACCCTGAAATGTGACAAATGACTGCTTTATATATGTAAAAATGTTTTCTGGTAATGATACACATGTCTGATGTTAAAACAAAGGTGTTATTTGGGACAGAGTGGAATGGACTTTCAAATCTTCATGCTTGTTCTGGACCAATGATTTTGAAACTATTAAAGTCAGAGGCAGCTGAGGAACATGTAACCTTGAAACAGGTAAGGAATGGCAGCCAATGATTTCTTCCTACATAGGAATAACATTTTACATGAGAACAGATAAAATATTAGCATATTATTATTAGTTTTTCTAATAATATAACAGTCACTATTGCTCCTAGACTGGCAAAACATGGGCAACATTTTTCAGTACAGTGGTCTATAGAGCTTTTGGGAGAGCACAATTATTTTAGGTGTATGGTGCTTTACACACTTTTGGTGTTTATAATGCATGAGTGAACCAATCTGCTAGTCACAAGTAAGGGAAGATCAGTAACGTTTTGCTTGAACTGAGTGCTCTTGCATAAGTCACCCACAAACCAGCTATTCAATCAAACCTTCTGCCACTTGTGCTTTTGATGTGGCTATGGAGGGACTACCTCTAATCCATAGCACCCCTCTAACCAAGCAGTTGTCTTTAGTAGCATTTCCATTCACCTCCTGCAATGGGCAAACAGCAAGGCTGAAGGGCGAGGGCACTTCCATATAAAAATTCAAAGCATGTAGGAAGGCTCTTATCTCATGTGTGGACAATGTAAGTGTTTTCTGTACACAGTCTTTGTCATTTCTGTTTTTAAATCTGCAAGTGGCATTCTGAAATTGCAACTTAAATGCAAGATTATGGTGCATTATTTTCAAAGCTGTTTGCCATGAGGTTTTATGTGTCTGTATTTATATACCCAAATATATAAATTAAAGCAAATGATTGTGTTGCCTTCTTAAATTTTTGTTGTAGCTGTTGGCATTTTTATATATGTAATTGCTATGTGTTTCTTAGGTCAAGTGCAGTGCACATTGCCTTTTTTTTCCTCATCCATCTCCTGTTGCATGAAAAGCTGTCCACTTGTACATACTGCAAACCTACAGCGGCTAATACATTATTCAAAACAGTCACCAAACACGTTCTCTGATCAATGGGATTCCAGTTGGACAGTTCTTGCATTGTCACAGGAACTGTTCAGAAATCCAGTATTTCAAAAAAGAAGCAAAGGATATGTATAGAAGATTCAAAAGAATGAGGTTATTCCCATTCACAACTTGAAAAAGCAAGAAGGAGGGCATATGAAACTGATACGGAAAGTCTGCTTCTTCCCAAAAATGGATTAGAGCAAGAAAGGCAGAAAAGGTAGGAATGCAACCATTGAGGATGCTCACCAGGTTTGGTGCACAATGGGACAAAGTAAAATGTGTTCTCAATAGGCACTGGCGAGTTCTTATGGAATGTCCAGAATTAAACAAAATTGTCGGTAACTATCCACAAATGGTGGCAAGAAGAAGAGCACTTAATCTGGATGATCTATTGATCCACTCTGAATATACACCTAGTAGAGATCCCACATGGCTGACATCCTTTTCACGATCTAAGCGGATGTTTCCATGTGAGAAATGTCAAGTCTGCCCCTATGTGGAATAAACAGACATTTTCACTGACTTACAAAATCAGAGAGAGTATAAAATCCAGAATCTAATACATTGTTTGACTACACGTGTATTGTATTTAAGTACTTCCCCATGTAAGAAAATATATGTGGGGAAGACAAATTTCCTAAAAAGAAGAGGGGATTTTGATTTATTGAAACGAGAGAAGATATGGATTTATAGGTTATATACATTGATTTCAAATGGACTGAAGTCTACAAGTATTTTTGGAATATTGATGTATAAAACATGTTTTGATAATACACTGCTCAAAAAAATTAAAAGAACACTTTGAAAACACATCAGATCTCAATGGGGAAAAATATCATGCTGGCTATCTATACTGATATGGACTGGGTAATGTGTTAGGAACATAAGGATGCCCCATCATTTGATGGAAATAAAAAATATCAACCTACAGAGGACTGAATTCAAAGAAACCCTTAAAATCAAAGTAAAAAAATTATGCAGCAGGCTAGTCCATTTTACTGAAATTTAATTGCAGCAACTCAAAATGGTACTCAGTAGTTTCTATGGCCCCCACATACTTGTACGCATGCCTGACAACATTGGGTCATACTCCTAATGAGACGAAGGATGTGTTCTGGGGTATTTCCTCCGAGATCTGGACCAGGGCATCACTGACCTCCTGGACAATCTGAGGTGCAACTTGGCGGCTGGACCGAAACATGATATCCAAGAGGTGTTCTATTGGTGTCAGGGCTCCAGGGTGTGACCAGAGGTATGTGAACTGACACAGGGAAACGCAGGCTTCAGATATGTTATAACAATATAATTTATTAACACTAACAATACATAAACGCAGTGCAATACTAAAACATAACACAGTGCAAACGAACCAAACCAAACCACCCACAGATAACAATACATACAATGCAAGCATCGTCAGGCAGGCCGGGTCAATAACAATTGGGCAGGTAGGAACAGGAGGAGCAGGCAGAGAGTAGTCAGGTCACGAGCCGGGTACAGCAACTAACGGGCAGGTAGGTACAGGGGGTCAGGCAGAGAATAGTCGGGGTCACAAGCCAGGGATCAAACAGGAGAAGTCAGCAGAGGTCCGGATCAGGCAGGGTCAGCAACGAATCAGTCAGACAGAGACAGGAACAGGAACAGAAACAGGGGCCCATAGAAAAGCACACACCAAGGCACAGACTGCAGGTCTGGCCATCCCTTAAATACACCTGCATAATCAGCTTCAGGTGTTTGGCTGGCTGCAGGGTTGAGTCTCTGATTGCTGAGAGCACCCGCTGGCCAGCCCTGGTACTGCAGCCCACAAGGCAGGTGAGTCCCACCATTACTGGCAAGTCCCTTCCTGACAATTGGATTTAGGTCAGGCAAGCATGGAGGCCATTCAATGGTATCAATTCTTTCATCCTTCAGGAACTGCCTGCATATTCTCATAACATGACGCCGGGCATTGTCGTGCACCAGGAGAAACCCAGCACCCACTGCACTAATATAGGGTCTGACAATGGGTCCAAGGATTTCCTCCCCATACCTAGTGGCAGTCAGGGTGCCATTGTCTAGCCTGTAGAGGTCTGTGCATCCCTCCATGGATATGCTTCCACAGACTATCACTCACCCACCACCAAAATGGTCATACTGACTATTGTTACAGGCAGCATAACATTCTCCACTGCTTCTCCAGACCCTTTCATGTCTGTTACATGTGCTCAGGGTGAACTTTCTCTCATCTGTGAAAAGCACAGGGTGCCAGTGGTAGACATGCCAATTCTGGTGTTCAATGGCAAATGTCAATTGAGCTCTATGGTGCTGGGCAGTGAGCACAGGGCCCACTAGAGGACATCGGGCCCTCGGGCCACCCTCATGAAGTCTATTTCTGATTGGTCAGAGACATTCACACCAGTGGCTTGCTGGAAGTCATTTTGTAGGGCTCTGGCAGTGCTCATCCTGTCCCTCCTTGCACAAAGGAGCAGATACCAGTCCTGCTGATGGGTTAAGGATATTCTACTTCCCTGTCCAGCTCTCCTAGAGTAACTGCCTGTCTCCTGGAATTTCCTGCATGGAATTTCCTCCATGCTCTTGAGACTGTGCTGGGAGACACAGCACACCTTCTGGCAATGGCACGTATTGATGTGCCATCTTGGAGGAGTTGGACTGCCTGTGCAACCTCTGTAGGGTCCAGGTATTACCTCATGCTACCAGTAGTGATACTGACCCTAGCCAAATGCAAAACTGGTGAAAAACAGAAAAGATGAGTAGGGAAAAATGTCAGTGGCCTCCACCTGTAAAACCATTCCTGTTTTGGGGATCATCTCATTGTTGCCCATTTATTGCACCTGTAGTTAATTTCATTAAGACCAAAGAAGCTGAAACTGATTAACAACCCTCTCTGCTACTTAACTGACCAGATCAATATCCCAGGAGATTAATTGACTTGATGCTATACTCTGATTAAAAAGTGTTCCTTTAATTTTTTTGAGCAGTGTATATAAATCCACTGGTACCTTGTGTTTGTTGATTTACAATGGCTCACCAAATATGGTAACGGTAAGTTCTGTATGTATTTGGATTTATTAGGGCAGATGTTTTTCACTTGAAGTATATGGCTATATGTCGTCATGACATCAGTAACATTACATGTAACCCCTTGTCACTTATGGGAGCTGGGTCCATAACTTGTTAGATTGTGGAGGACTTGCATTTCACATCACTGTAGGTCTACATAATGACAAGTCTGGTAAACACAGTCATCTACATCGCAAGGTGTAAAGACCTTCTTGGAGCAGCA